GCTGAGGCAGGAGACTCGCTTGAGCCCAGGAGTTGGAGGTTGCTGTGAAGGTGATGCCATGGCACTCTACCCAGGGGGATAGCTTAAGGCCCCGTCTCAAAAAAGGAAAAAGAAAGCTTTCTCTTTGAAGCAAATGAGTATTAAAACCCGTCCCATCTCCCTGTTGGGAAGAACTTGAGAGTAGGGTTAGGGCTGGGACTGAGCAGGACTTTCACTGGGCAGACCAGGGCCTTGGACCTGTCCCCTTCCCCAGGGGCACATGGTTTGGGATAAACCAAGAGAACTGCCACCCTCCAGCCCACTGCGTGCTTATCTCATGCCACCCCTTGTAATTGTGTCATGTCCCTACTCCATGGCAGTGGCCTTCAGGGTCCCTAGGGTTCTTTTTTCTCTGGCACTTGCACATCTCTGGTCCTTTGCTCTCTTCCTTTTGAAATCGTGGCCTGCCTTCTCCAAAGCTGCCTCCTTAGTGAAGTCTTTACTACCCTGCCCATGTGCCACTTGATTTGAGCTAGCCAGGTGTTTGGTGTCTCAATTGTTTGTGCTCATCCTAAAGATGGTCTTGAGGACAGGCTCTGGTAGCTGGCCATTGGGCCCTGGTTCAGGTGTTTGCAAGTTCACTCCTGGGCCCTGCAGTGCTGTGGCCTCCAAGCCTGGAACTTCAGGGCAAGGCGTAGGTACCCCCTCCCACTTGAGAGCAATTCCATTTTCAAAAACCTGCTTTAACTGGGTGAAGTAGTGCACACCTATATTCCCTACGACTTGGAGGGCTTAGATGGGAGGATCCCTTAAGCCCAGGGGTTCAAGGATACAGTGAGCTGTGATCAAGCTACTGCACTCCTGGTTAGGTGACACAGCAAGACACTAGAAAAATATTTATTTTTGAGGCAGAGTATCACTTTATCACCCTCTGTAGAGTGCGGTGGTGTCACACTGCTCACAGCAACCTCCAATTCCTGAGCCTAGGCGATTCTCTTGCCTTAGCCTCCTGAGTAGCTGGGACTACAGGCATCCACCACAACGCCTGGCTTTTTTTTTTTTTTTTTTTTGGTGGTGGCAGTTTGGCTGGGGCCGGGTTCAAATCTGCCACCCTTGGTATGGGGCCAGCGCCCTACTCACTGAGTCACAAGTGCCACCCCCCAAAAAATTTTTTAAAGACAATTTCAATCTGTCACCCTGGATAGAGTTCTGTAGTGTTATAGCTCACAGCAACCTCAAACTCCTGGGTTTGATTGATCCTTTTGCCTCAGCCTCCCAAGTAGCTGGGACTACAGGCGGCTGCCACAATGCCCAGCTATTTTTCTCTATATATTTTGGTAGAGATGGGGGTCTTCCTCTTACTCAGGTCGGCCTCAAACTCCTGACCTCAAGGGATCCACCCACCTCAGCCTCCCGGAATGCTGGGATTACAGGCATGAGCCACCTGGCATAGAAAAAAAATATTTTAAGCCAGCTTTGCATATTAATCTATCTGAGAGTTGATAGGGGGGATTAATTCAGTATGGAAGACAACCACAGAAGAATAGCACTTAAAATTTGCCTTGGGGAGGCTTGGCACCTGTAGCTCAGGCAGCTAAGGCCCCAGCCACATAAACCAGAGCTGGTGGGTTTGAATCCACCCCAGGCCTGCCAAACAACATTGACAACTACAACCAAAAAATAGTTGGGCTTTGTGGCGGGTGCCTGTAGTCCTAGCTACTTGGGAGGTGGAGGCGGAGGCAGGAGAATCGCTTGAGCCCAGGAGTTGGGGGTTCCTGTGAACTGTGGTGCCATAGCACTCTACCCAGGGCGACAGCTTGAGGCTCTGTCTCAAAAAAAAAATTTTTTTTTTTGCCTTGGGGAAACAAAACATAAACAAGTGCCATAAAAGTCACCATCAGTTACTGAGTGCTTACTATTTACAGCAGGGCTTACTACTGTGTAACAAAGCATTGGCTTATTTATCCTCACAACATCCCTTTAAGGTAGGTGCTATCATTCCATTTTACAGAGAAGTAAGCACTGAGTAGTAAAGTGATTTGCTCCAGATGGCAGGAGGCTGAGGTTCTGCCTCCACTTAGAACCACCCAGCGACACGGCCTTGCTAGAGAAGAGGAAGTGCAAGTGGGGAGGGCCTGTTTCTCCAAAGAATGTTGTGGGTGCTGCAACCAGAAAGAAGGGAGAATGGATGCTGGAGGTGAAAAGAAAGTCCTTCCAACAGTCCTGTAAGATGGCTGCTATTGTCTGCTTTATAAAGGGAGAGAGTGAGGCTTACAGAGATTGTCATTGATCCAAGGCCACAAAGGAACCATGTGGCAGAGCGAGAATATTAACCCAGATCTACTGGCCTCCGAGACCCTGCCACTTAACTGAAGGATGTTGCCTAGAGACTGGCCGCAGTACGAAGACACTGAGCGCTGGAGGAGACCCAGCTAGTCCTGGAGGAGTGCGGATGGCTAGCTGGAGAAACATATTCCCACAGTAAAGCAGGGAGCATAAAAGGACCTGGGTGTTGAAGAGATAGGATGTAGAGCCTGTAGCTAAGGCTCTAAGGGTGTAGGAGAGAGACAGCCAGATTTCCAATGGCAATTCTGTGGTCAGGCAGAGGGATGGGCTGTCCTGGGAGGTGGTGAGGCACCAGTCAGTGACATGTCCAAGGCGGCTGGACTGGTTCAAACTTCTGTATATGTGCTAGAGGGTTACCCTGTCTGCTGGTACCTTCCAGACCCAAGGTACAGAAAAGCAGTGCATTCCAAAGAGCATCTAACAGCTGTGCAATAAAGGGCTGGAGGGGCTGGGTGTGGCAACCTAGAGGCCAGGGAAGAGAAGTTTCCAAAAGAGGCTTAGCAGGGACTGAGACCTGGGCAGTAGTGAGGCAGATGGAGGAGACAGGATGAGAAAAAGATTGGCAGGAAGCAACAGGAAGCTTGGGGGCTGGGACCACATGGCTGGCTACCATTATGGAAACGAGAATAAGTTTCAGGTGGAGGGGACCAGGTGAATTGTTGGAAATAGTGGAGTCAAGGAGAGTCACAGCTAGAAAGAGGTCAGGAGAACAGAGAGGAAGGGAAATTTCGAAGCTTGAAGACCAGACAATGGAAGTTTTGTCCCTTTGGGGATATGGAGGGTGCCCAGAGAATCATCCCTCTGGAGAACTGGGACTAGAAACACAGGTGGGCAGAAGGCGTTGAGGATGCTGTTGGCTGTTCCATGTCTGGGCCTTGACTGAAGAGGCATCATCCAGTCCCAGTAACTGCTCCCCAGGATGGCCACATTGGGTAAATGCATCTCTGTGTTAAGGGCTTTCTGGGGCTCGGCACCTGTGACTCAAGTGGCTAAGGCGCCAGCCACATACACCTAAGGTGGCGGGTTCGAATCCAGCCCAGGCCCGCCAAACAACAATGATGGCTGCAACCAAAAAATAGCCAGGCATTGTGGTTGGCACCTCTGGTCCCAGCTACTTGGGAGGCTGGGGCAAGAGAATCGCTTGAGCCCAGGAATTGGAGGTTGCTGTGAGCTGTGATGCCATAGTACTCTACCCAGGGGGATAGCTTGAGGCTCTGTCTCAAACAAACAAACAAAAAAAGAGCCTTCTGGGATCTCATGGTAGTGAAACCCTCTGAGGTGGGATTATCACCCCTACTTAACAGATGAGGGAAAAGAAACTCTGAAACTAAATTTGCAAACAATAAATAGGGAAGGCTTGACCTTGGGATGGGCAGAGGACGTATCCTCCAGTCTCTCAGAGTGGTAGAAATATTCAGGGGTCAGTTCTGAGGAGGCAGAGAAGTAGGGTTTCCTTTAGAACCTAGCCCTTGCCCTCCCCCTGCCTCAGGATCTGTGAGGCCTCGGTCAAGGCCCTACTCTTTAATCCATGGCCCCAAGTTCAGGGAAGGGTACTGCAGGGCAGGCTGTGGGAAAAGAGGTAGACTTAGGGGCAGTTGGAAAGCTTTGGCTTGGCCTCTTGGACCCAAGACCAGAATGAAGATAGCTCCCAAGGTTCATGGTCCTAAAGCCAATGTAATCTAGGGCCCAAAACTATTCTTGGGTGGGCAGAACCTGGCAGCAGAATAGGGTGCTCAGAGAGGCCCTTCAAAGAGGGTGTGAGGATCTCGCCTGGCCACTGTAAGAGTGCCACATGGGTGGTGCCCAGAGCGGCAGAGGGGATGGAAAGAGTTGCTCCGCTGTGGCCAGCACCTTCCAGAGGTAGGTGTATGTGCACGTGGTGGGGCTGTGGTACAGGATTGTTGAAGAGGGCACAGCTGCCACTAGCTCTACACTGGCTTTCACTTTCCATGTAATAAGCCCCTTGCACTCAGCTGTCCACAGTTTGTGTGGGAAGATGCTGCTGCTCAGAGAGGGTAAGAAACCTGCTCAAGTTCCCACAGTGGCAGAGCTGGGAGTCCCTCAGTGTTGCTTACTTGCTTGCAAAGTCTCCAATCCTTCCATTTCTGGAAAGAAAGGTTTTTAACTTTGCTTTTAACACAAGTTCCCATCAGCCCTGTGGGCAGAGAGACTGGTACCTGGTCTACAGAGGGGTTGGGGCCTGCTCCAATTCCTGTGAGTCTACAGTGGAGCCAGGGCCAAGCCCCAGGCCTCTGCAGTCTGTGGCGGGGGCGTGCCCCGGGGGAGCTGAGAGTCCAGGCCCGGTTTTGCATCAAGCCCAGCAGAGGTGTTTCCTCCTCAGTGGCGGGGCAGCTGCTGCTGGGAGGCAGGTTGAGTCAGCCTTAGTCTCTCACTGCTCTTCTCCAGGTCCCTGAAACTTGGCCCAGGGGAGCTGGAGCCACCTACGAAAGTGTCCTCCCATACTGGAGCCCTACAGGTAACACCTGGGTGCTAGGGTCCCCAGCTAAGGTCGAGGGACAGGCACTGCCACCTGGTATCCTGAGCACCCTTGGGCACCTTGGGACCTTGGGGTAGGGGAGGCAGGAGCATGTCTGGGACTGGAACAGCGGGACAGATGGATAGACCCTTCTATTGACCAGTGGGTCTGTCCCTTAGTGTTGAACAGCAGGGAGAACTGGATACTGGATACTGGATTCTGCCTTTGGAAGGAGCGGGGACTGCAGGGAGAGGGTGTTTCTAGGGACACTGGGCTCAGATTCCTATGGCCCAGCCCTGGCTCAGGGCTGCCAAACATCCCTCCACCTCCACATTCAGACCCACATATCTGGTGGCCCTTGGAGCACCAAAGGACACACCATAATACACAGCCCAGTCACCCCGTCACACATACAGCACAGGAGGAAATGCACACTGTGCACACACCCACATAGCGCTAGCACAGAAAGTCACTGAACACACCACACAGACAATGTAGTCCCTTAGGTGGCATCACACTGCGACATGACACACAGACACACAGACAGTGTTCACACACACAAACTGCACATAGACGTGCCCACCAGGCCCAGACTCACCCACCAGCACAATGCTTCAGTAACAGAAACTTGGGCTCACGCTCACATTTGCAACACCCGGCCCTACGGACATAGTTCAGGAAAATTGTTCATGTCAGCACATGGGCATTCACACAGTCTTATGAACCACACAGATGTGCAGAAACCCCAAGCCTCTGGAGGGGGAGTTCTGGGGGAGAAAGACTCAGGCTTGACACTGACTCAGCAGGGAGGGGACAGAGCCGACACAAGCCAGGACCTGCCTGCTGCACCGCCTCTTCTATCCCAGCCCTACCTGGAGCCTCGGCATGGAAGGGGCGGGAGGAAAGGAGAGTCCACCACAGTTGTGGCCAAGTCATGGGCCCCTTGCCACGTCAACACGCCCCTCAGGGCTGGGTGCATGTTTTCCTTCCGGAGTCACTGTGGCACCTGGGCACAAGCTGCTTTGCCAGTGTAGGCCTCCACCTCTGGGCCCCAGCCAGGTCTGGGGCCGGAGCTGGGGGAGACATGTGGCCAGAGCAGAAGGGCCCAGAGGCTCTGGGCAGGAGGGCAGGGCTAGCAGTGGGGGCATCCCTGGGTTGCAGGCCTCAGTGGGTGTGGGTGCAGCAGTTACCTCAAGGGAGGAAGTGGGGAGGAGGTTACTTCAGACAGGAAAGCCGAATGGGCCAGGGCAGGGTGGAGGTGAAGGGTGGAGAGAGGACATCCAGGGTGGGAGGTTGTCAGGGCAGGTGGGTTTGTGTGTGTGTGTATGTATACATGCACATTCCCTGGTATGTAGGTATATATCTATATTTAATTAATGAGACTTGTACCAACCATCTGTTGTGTACAAAGTATTGGCTTTCAGGATGATTCACTGTCCCTGCCTTCAAGGAGCTTACGAACCAGTTAGATGGGCAATGTGTGTGTGTAGAAGTTTGTGTGCATATATCTGGGGGCATATTTGTCATTCTGGTATAGGCAAACCTTTGTGAGTGGGCCCTGTCCACCTTTGTGTGCACATGCTGTGTGCAGGTTTAAGAATGTGTCTCTGGCTCAACGCCTGTAGCTCAACATCTGGGACGCCAGCCACATACACCAGAACTGGCAGGTTCAAACCCAGCCTGGGCCCGCCAAACAACAATGACAACTGCAACCAAAAAATAGCCGGGCATTATAGCAGGTGCCTGTAGTCCTAGCTACTTGGGAGGCTGAGGCAAGAGAATCGCTTAAGCCCAAGAGTTTGAGGTTGCTGTGAGCTGTGATGCCATAGCACTCTACCAAGGGTGACACAGTGAGACTCTGTCTAAAAAAAAACACTGCGTCTCTCTCTTGGGCATAGGTTTGTGCCTGTGTCTACAGAGTCATGGGGGAACTGGTATGTGTATGTCTGTCTTTATATAGGTATCAGTGTGCATGCAGGACTGGGCATTTGTGCCCACACAGGTCAGTGTATGTGTATGTCACCACCTCAGGATTTGTGTTCTGTACACCTCTTTGAGTGTGTCCCCAAGTGTGTTCATGGACCAGTGTAAGCATGCTTTCATGGATGCATCTCACTCCACCTTGACCTTAGCCATCCTGGGATTGTACACTCCCTGCTACCTGGGTGTTTGGGGAGAAAAGGGCAGTCAGCTCCAAGATGTGCCGTGTATTTGTGTAGGACTCAACCTGACCTTTGGTCTGCCCCCAGGAAGGCACATGTGCCCAGCTGGGGCAGAGTCCTAGCTGATGCCCCAGAGGGGGTACTCATCTCAAGAGGGGCTTTGGGCCCTGCCTTCCCTCCCCATGGCACATGGGCCAGAAACTGAGTCTGAAGAACTGTTGGACCTCAGCTTCCTGACAGACGAGGAGCAAGAGGCCATTGCTGATGTCCTCAAACGAGATGCCCTTCTGCGCCAGCTGGAGGAGGGGCGTGTCAGGTAAGGCAGGGCAAACCCAGGCCAGGGGAGCACTAGGAGGCTTGAGCGGCCCCCTCCCTTCTCCCTACCAACATGCTGCCTGGCGGATGTATGAGTGGTTCTTGGTTTCACCCTTTGCTCCCTTCAGGCCTTGGTTCAGAGCTCATAGGGTGAGCTGGGGTGGCTGCACCAGCTACCTTGCCATGCCCCTCTGGCCCATCCACCATGCTGCAACTGAAGCTCCCCAGATCTGTCCTTAATATCCCTACTGAGCACTGCCCCCCAGGGCACCCAGCACCAAGGGCAAGTCCCTAAACACTGTCCACAAGGCCTTCCTGATTGGTCTGTGTCTGCTTCCCCCATCTTATCATCTCATTTTCCTCCATTACCCCCACCCAACACACACACACACACACACAAAGTACCCACACAGCTGCCGGCTGTGCCCCAGTCTCTGAACATACCCATCACTTCCAAGCCCATGCTGGTCCTTCTTCCTGTAAAAGCACCATGGCAGAGGAGCATAGACATTCCAAGCAGTGTTTGGGGACAGACAGACACTTCCTAGCTATGTAACCTTGGTCAACTTACATGACCTCCCTGTAAATGAGGGAGGCTAGAGAGTCCTAACTCATAGAATTAAGAGGGATTATGCAAGTATTGTCCACAGTAACCACCTAATAAATAATAATTATTGGCTCGGCACCTATGGCTCAAGCAGCTAAGGAGCCAGCCACATACACCTAAGGTGGAGGGTTTAAAACCAGCCCAGGCCCGCCAAACAACAGTGATGGCTGCAACCAAAAAATGGCCAGCCGTTGTGGCGGGCACCTGCAGTCCCAGCTACTTGGGAGGCTGAGGCAGGAGACTCGCTTGAGCCCAGGAGTTGGAGGTTGCTGTGAGCTGTGATGCCACAGCACTCTACCCAGGGGGATAGCTTGAGGCTCCGTCTCAAAAAAAAAAATTATTATTATTATTATCCTTCTCTACCTGGAGAATTGCTTTAAGAAGCAATTCAATAAAAAAAAAAAAAGAAGAAGAGGAAGAATTCAATGTCATGAGACATTAAAGTCTTCAACCTCTGAGAAGGCTTCCTGGATTCCCACAGGTAGAGCTGGCCCTTCTTACATCTGTCATAGCACCTACCTCACTATAGTACTTGTCTCTTCTGGGCTCATCTCCCCAGCAGACTGGGCTCCTCAAGAATACAGATCAAGTTCAAGTCTGATTTGCTGCTGGGTCCCTGGTCCCTGTACAAAGCCTGATACAGAGTGGGTGGCAGGAATGTTTGGGTGAGTAGTGATGGCCACACCCTCCACCATCCTCCAGCAAGCTCCGGGCCTCGCTGTTGGACCCTGGGCAGCTGAAGATCCTGACAGGGGACTGGTTCCAGGAAGCACGCTCCCAACGGCACCACCATGCACACTTTGGCTCTGACCTTGTCCGGGCCTCTATCCGCAGGAAGAAGAGTTCCAGGGGTGAGAGGAGATCCCAGGGTGGGCAAGCCTTGTGCAGTCTAAGGCTCTGGCTATCTGTGGACAGGGAGAGAGGACCCCTGGGCTGCCCTAATACTGTGTGTCTTTGGGTGGGCAATGCCCTTCCATTGGCTATGGGAGGTGGGTGGACATCTCCAAGTTCCTCTGAGTCACAGCCATACTTCCTGAGAAGGGGCTCACAGAACTTCTCACCTGGGCCCAGGAGACCAGGCTGTGAGCAGCGATGGGGAAGCTGAGGCTGCTGAAAAAGAGAACAAAGAGGAACCAGAGCCCAGGTGAGGAGGCAACTTGGGAGAGGGGAGAAGCTGCCTACCAGACACCTGGATTCCCTCCTGAAAAACTACCTCTCCTTACTCTTAGGCTCTCCACAGATGAGGTGCCCCAAGAGAGGCTCAAGGAGACTGAGGTGAGTTCAGCATGAAGAAGTTACTAAATGAGCACAACGCCCCTGAACTGGAGGCAGAATGTTCCCGGGAAAGAGCGTGAACCTGGGAATCAGGAGACCTGGGACACACCCCTTCTCTTGTTTGGGCCTGATGTGGACCCAGCCTCTAAGGGAACTTGGGAATACAGGGCATCCCAAAAGTCACTATACATAGGGAAAAGGGGAAATTGTAGCTAAGTGTATTTTTATTTACAAAATATTACAAAATTTTACAGGGCTTACCTTTGCAATCCTAGCACTCTGGGAGACTGAGGCGGGTAGACTGCTTGAGCTCAGGAGTTCTAGACCAACCTGAGCAAGAGCAAGACCCTGTCTCTACTAAAAATAGACAAACTAGTCAGGCATTGTGGGGGGCACCTGTAGCCTCAGTTACCCAGAAGGCAGAGGCAAGAGGATCCCTTGAGCCCAAGAGTTTGGGGCTACTATGAGCTATGACTCCAGGGCACTCTACCCAGGACACAGAGTCTCAAAAAACAAAAAGTAATTTACAAAGAGGTGGCTAACACATAGAGAATATTTTGTAAATATTTTGTAAAATTGTGTATTAAGAGAGAGGTGGGACTGAGCTAGGAGGTTGAGAATTTAGATGGTACTCCCCCTCAGCCCCTAGTAGGAGCCTAGGAGTCCGGCAGGGCAGGCAGGGTGTGAGGGTGTGAAGGACAGGTCCAACTGGTCCTGCAGCTGGTCGCTAGCTCTGCCCTAAATCTGAAACTGGGGTAGCAGCTGGAGCCTCTGACCTCTCACCCAGCATGACCTTTGACTCTTTCTCACTAGTTCCCACTGTGCCCTCTAACCCTCCCTTCCTTTAGGGACCTGATTTCCCATCTCCATATGTCCCCCTAAAGACTTCAGATCAGGAGGAGGAGCCCCAAGCCCAGGAAGGTGAGTGGGAGCATATATTGGAGCACACAAGGCAGTTTCAGGGATCAAAGGTAACTCTGCACCAAACTTCTATGTTCACCCTCCTCCTTCTGCGTTGTGTGGCTTCTATAGGCGACCACTGGGCAGCACCGAAGCCTGAATCTGCAGATCACCAGGGTAGCAAACCAGTGTCTCCGAATTTGCTCAAAGGCGGGGAGGAGAGGGGCTCACTCAGTAGCCTGTGTCCCACTCCAGCCCCAGGCCAAGTGGATGTGCAGGTCGGTGCGGAGGAGGCGGAGGCGAGGCCCGCGCCGCTGGGAGAGGCGCTGCTGCCCTCCGCTGCCCAGGTAGGCGGGAGAGGCCCGCGGCTACTCTCAAGACCCGGAGCGGATTCCGGGCGGGGAATGCTCCTGCCCAGGTCCGCAAGCCATGGCGACCCAGGGCTGTCGGGGGAGGGCAGGGGAAAGACAGGACACCTCTGTCACTTCTCCCCTCTCCGGACCAAGGCCACATCCAAGATCCTGGAGAACGGGGAGGATGCCCCGGGATCTGGCCCCTCGCTGGACCGCATGCTCAGCAGCAGCTCCTCGGTGTCCAGCCTTAATTCCTCCACGGTGAGGGGGTGACGGAGAGGGGAGGTGGACGCCTCGTCACTCCGTGTCCTGACATAGCCCCAGCCTCACCCCTCCCTTGCCCCGGGACCCCACGCTCCAGCCCCACGCCCGGGGCTAAATCCTCTGCGCTCCCCCAGCCCCGACGTGAGCCCTGCGTCCCCTCTAACTCCCGCACTCTCCCCGCCTGCAGCTAAGCGGCAGTCAGATGAGCCTGTCTTGGGAGGGCGAGGCCGTGCCAGTGCGCGGCTCCGTACACTTCGAGCTGCACTACGAGCCGGGCGCCGCCGAGCTGCGCGTGCACGTGATCCAGTGCCAGGGCCTGGCCGCCGCCCGACGGGGCCGCTCTGACCCGTAAGTGCCCTACCGGGGCTCCCCTGGGGCGGTACCGGCGTATGGGGGGGCTCTAGGGAGCCACTCTCAGCCCATCACACCACTCAACTTTTCTTGCCTCAGGTTCCTCATCTTCAAAATAGGAATGACAGCATTATTGGGAGGCGTGGGGGTTGAGCGAGATAATTCCTGTAAAACGCTTAGCACGATTCCCCAAGGCCCACAGCCAGGGAGAGAGCTCTTGGAGAGCCCTTCCTGACCTCGAGTCCTCACCTCCCCTGCCTCAGCTACGTCAAAAGCTACCTCCTCCCGGATAAGCAGAGCAAGCGCAAGACAGGGGTGAAAAAACGGAATCTGAATCCGATCTTCAATGAGACTCTCCGGGTAAGGCCCTGACGTCGCTGCGGTCCCCTTAATGAACAGGAGGCACCTTTCTGCCGGGCGGCGTGGCAAGGGCATTCTCATTCTGCTGGAGGGTCTGCAGGGAGGCTCCCCATTAAGGTTTTCTCCATTATGTAAGTCTTTAAAAACATTTTTAAAAACAAGTTGAGGTCAAGCACGGTGTGTCAAGCCTGTAAGCCTAGCAGTCTGGGAGGCCAGTGCAGGAGGATCGCTTGAGGCGAGAGTTCAAGACCAGCCTGAGCATCATAGCCAGACCCCATAGCTACAAAAAATTAGAAAAGGTATCCTGGCCTGGAGTGATGGCTCAGGCCTGTAATCCTAGCACTCTGGAGGCAGAGG